TATCCAACCAAGTCAAGGTTATCAACCAAGGGATAGTAGAGAACTAGGTCCTGCATCCCTTTGAGATATTTTATTCTCTTGGTAGCTTTCAGATGAGATTCCTTTGGATTGGATTGAAACCCGGCACACAGACCCACACTAAAAACAATATCTGGTCTGCTACACAAGTGACCCTATGATACCTCTATACATGGTCAGATTTATAGGGGAACCAGGTTCATCCAGTCTAGACAAGTAGCTGTGGCGATGGGAGTGTCAATGATTTTGATGTCTACATATCAAATCTCCTCGGCAGCTTCTTGTTTCACTTGTAAATCTAAGAAGAAATTCAATTCCCCCATCGTACTTATTTATAACTCACTTCCCATGAGTTATGCACATTCTTCACATTGAGAGTCAATTGTTGCTCCAAAGATGATTCCATCCACATAGATTTGCACAATGAGTAGGTTCCTTCCCGATTTCTTCAGAAAAAGAGTGTTGCCAATTTTCCCTCTTGTAAAGACATTTTCTAGAAGGAATTTTGACAACATTTCATCACAAGCACGAGGAGCCTAGCTCCTATAACAGTTCTATCAGCAGGTCGAGGAACCAGGTTCCACATAGTGTTCCTCTCAAGTTGACGGAGCTCTTCTTGCATAGTTGTAATCCAGTCAGCATCTTTCAATGCTTCCTTGATATTCTTAGGCTCTATTTGAGATAGAAAGGCTGAGAAGGCAAGTGAGTTTCTTGTCTTTGATCTGGTTTGAATTTTTTAGCAGCTGGAGTTTCATGTACAACATCCACAACTCTATTTTCCGCTTTAGATATTGTGATTGAGGGACTAGGTTCCTCTATGTCGGCTGGCGTCTCATCTTTAGTTCTGAGGAACAAGGTCCGTGTAAATCTGGAGTAATAATCCATATTGACGAGAATATACACCTCTTTCCTCCTCTACTTGGCATCCTCACATGTCCATATATATCCATATGGAGGAGATCACGTGGCCTTGAGATACTAACTTCCTTTTTGGGCTTGAAAGAGGATCTGACTTGCATTTCTTTTACACATGAATCACACACCCTGTGATCCTTGAAGCTTGATTTGAGCAGACCATGAACCAGGTCCTTCTTGACAAATTTGTTCAGCATCGTGAAACTTGCATGACCGAGCCTTCTATGCCATAGCTCAGCATTATCATTAACAGCACTCAGACAGCCAAGACCCCCTTGTCACATATTTGGGAAATACCTAGCAGAATCTCTAGAGGACCAGGTACTCTACTGTTCAATGGAATCATACTGTTCCAGATCCTTCCAGCTCCCAGAATGTATCCCTTCTTGCCATTTTCAAAGGATACACTCCCTCCTTGCAGGGCCTTCGGTGAAAGGAAATCATTTGTTCTTCTAATTATGAGCTTCGAGAAGTCGCTATCCATATGCCACTATTGACTGCTCCCTTTCACTGTTCCCTGCACACTTAATTCAATGATTAAACTTATGAACCCAAACTAGCTTGGGTCCCTTATACTGATAGAACAAGTGGATCAAACTTATTTTTTTCCATGCAGGCAACACATATTTTCTTTTCAGGGAACCAGGTTCCTCATCAGTACTCCTTTATTCAACAAAGACTTTGTTTTTCTGCAAAGACTGATTTTTAACTTGACAAGAGTCCTTGTAATGATCGGTTTGACCACAGTGAGTGCACAACCTATTATCAGCCATAGTTACATACTTTCTATGGGGATTATAGGAGGTTTTAGCCTTTTGAAACCCGATGCCTTGCCTGTTTCCGTCATTATTCATGTACATAGACATTATTACATCAGAGAATCGGGTCGATTTTAGTGACTTATCAAGATCATTTTTAACCCTTTGTAAATCCTCCTGAAGTTGTCTATTCTTTTTAAGCTCAACAACAAGACTTGTTTTAACTTTCTTCAGCTCATTATCAAGCTCAAGTTGAGCCTTTCTAGCCATTTCCTCTCCCTCAGTGTTGTCCATCTATTTTTGTTTGTTTTTTAAACAAGTTGTGTTCTCTAGTTACTTCTTCTATTTGTTCCCTTAAATATTCAAAGGAAACTACCATATGACCCCTTTCTTCCTCAGTAGCTGCAATTTTCTCTACTAGAGTATTCTTCTCTTTGCTAAGGTTCTCTATGATTTTCTTCAAGTCAACAACCACTGCCATCAAATCATCTCTAGATTGTTCAGCATCTCATAGCTTTAGTATTAGGGAATCATTGTCATTAACAAAACTATAATATGTATCAATTAGAACATTTGCTAATAACATCAATTTCTTCGAAGAGTAGGACTTCATATTTCTATAAACATCCCTAAAATTTACCTCATCATTGTCATCCGCATCGGACTGAGCCATCAATGCAAACAATGAATCATCTTCATTTTGCATTGCCATCATGGAGCTACTTCCTGCATCCGGTTCCTCTTCTGATTCACTGGAGGAGTCTCCCCATGCAGCAAGAGCTTGCTTCACAACATTGTCAGTTGCACTTTTTTGGCTTAATCGTTTGTCAGGGATCGGGTTCCTTTTTGCTACTTTGGCAAAGTTGTGTTTGTAATGCTCTTGTTTTAGAAGTGGGCAGTCTTTGATGAAGTGTCCAGGCTTTCCACACTTATGACAACACTAATTTCCTTTGAAATTCCTACTGGAACTTCATGTCTTTTGGATCCCACCATTTTTGCGACCCATCTTCTGAAATCTTTGTGGTCTATTGGTTGATTGACTTTCCTTGAAGTTTGGTGGAGTAACCATGTAGATCCTTTCTAGATGCTAACCTTTTAAAAAGAACCTGCTCTGATACCAATTGTTAGAAACTAAGCATCCACCAGACTGTGTAGAGAACCGAGTTCTCTCTAAGTTTTGACTAAAGATACTAATGAACCGAACTGTATAGCGATCTAGTCCTATATCAGTTCCCACAGTGCTAAGTACTGAACCAGTATGTAAATGAGACACAGGATAAGTTCCTACTATATAGAGAACCAGATTCTCTATCAGCTCCCACTGTAAGCAACAGACAGTAAAACCAACTAGTATAGGGAATCAAGTTCTCTAATTATTTCACAGTAGCACGGTAGTAAGTAAGAACACAAAGGATTTTTACGTGGAAAAATCCCAACTCAAGGGGACAAAAACCTTGACCTACACTTGTAGGCTTTCAACTTCACTAACTTGTAAACACCTATTCCAAGTCACTTTGTAATGACTCTATTACAAAGAATTCAACTTACTTGTGGTACTCTTACCACAAGCCACTTTGTGACTCCCTAGTTACAAAGAATTTAACTAACTTGTGATGCTCTCACCACAAGCCACTTTGTTACTCTACAATTACAAAGGCTTTTACTCACTTTAACTTATAATAATACATATTACAAGCCACTTTGTAACTCTCTAGTTACAAAGACATTAACTTATGACTAAACCTAGTCACAACATAAACAGAAGATTTTACGGATTTTAGGTTTCCTAAAAACAGCTTCTAAGAAAGCAAGATAGGAGTTACAATAAAGAACAAATAAAAATGACTCAACAAACCTAAGGACTTAAGATATCTTTGATCTTGGATCAGGTCTTTGAGGTTGCAGCAACTTTGTTCTTGAGAGAGGTTATTGCAAGCACTTGATAGAGGATTTTTGTTTCTGATTTTGCAAGTCTTGAACCTGAATCTTGTGCCTTGCATAAGGTTTATACTACAAAATACATCACCTTAGTGATGTCAAATCTTGGTCAGTACATGCCTCCTCTCAATGGGAAGTGACTGTTGCACTGTCTGTTGCATTATTACAGGCAATCACTTTTTGCAGTTGCTTTCCAGCTGTATTGTTGACTTATACTTCTGTCAGGGGAACACAAAGGTATTTAGGTCCCTAATCTGGTTCCTGTGAATCTGAAGGCACACTGCCCAGATTATCTTGAGTCGATTAACTTGAATGATTGTACCAGGCATGCTTGAGGTCCTTTATCTAGTTCTCTCATGAAGTAAGTTGTTTTACTTTCCTTGATGGTATTTATACGTGTGTGACATCACTTACAATGATGTAAGCAAGGTAGGTAAAAAGCCTTCCATAGAAAGTTGATTGTTGCATTGTTCCTATGCAGTAGCGTGTGCAGGCAATAACTTTCCTATTGGAAAGTTGACTTCATACAGTCTCCTAGAAACTGGTAGGGACTTGTTTCCTCAGTTGTTCCTTCCTCTTTGAAGAGTTTAGTTATATCCCACGCTGGATCCCGACCTGAAACTTTGTGATCTCAAGGTCTTGTAGATGTATAACAGGTTCCGTATCTGGTTCTGGATGGTAAGTTTGTTAGATCATCAAAAAATAAAGTAAAGTACTTATTCCCTAAGTATTTGTAATCTATCAGTTTGCTTAAACATATTATTTTCAAGTTATTATCTTATTTTCTAATCTCACACTTAGCATCTATTGACTAACAACTAGCATAAAAATTAATCACGTATTTTTAGAACCACAAAATCAAATCTAATTGTAATTACCATTTTCAAGGTAAACAATTTGGAGCCCACCTTGGGGCTGAAAATAATAGTGATTGTTTTCTTGCTCGTTTACTGCATAATGCAAGTTATCTTTCACACTTTTTCCTGTCCAAGGATCTTTGATTTCAGGTTAAAATGTCTAACTCAGTGAGTGCACATGAAAAACGGTCTTGAGGACCATGGGGAAAACGGTGTAGTGTGTACCACCACCAAACTCTGAGGGTACGCTAGAGTCGATCCCTATGGGTACTGTCTCACATAACGCCCAACACATTGATGCCAGCACCAACATTAATGGGAATACGCGCCAAGAAAATCAACAGGAAAATCGAGAAAATCCCACCTAGGAAGAAAGAAAGGAGAACATGGGAAGCAGAACGGGAAAACCTCGACATGTCATTCATATGATCATCGGGGGGACCGACATTCCCCAAGGACCCATGGCAAATGGGATAAAGTGTCTGCTTTAACGGAAGGGTTAATTCGGGGGAACATGCCCAAAGACATCCTTGCATTTAGCGAGGAAGATTTTAAGACATTGACTCAACCACATAACGATGCGCTGGTAATTTCATTTCTCTTGAATAATGTTCAAATTAAACGTGTACTCGTGGATCCAGGTAGCTCGGCCAACGTGATCAGGTCAAATGTGGTAGAACAACTCAAGTTGCTCGATCAGATCATGCCTACCTCCCGAGTCCTCAACGACTTCAACATGGCCGGCGAAGCTACGAAGTGGGTGATCACCCTCCCGATCAACATCTCCGAGCCAGTTCAGGACACCAAATTCCATATCATCGACGGTGACATAAGGTACAAGGCATTTCTTGGGAGGCCATGGATATACAGCATGAGGGCAGTACCGTCAACTCTGCATCAGATGATGAAGTTTCCAACAAAGGACGGTAAGAAAAGGTATACAGAGAACAGCATGCAGCAAAAGAAATGTTCGCGATCTACTGGGAAACGTCAGATTCTATACACTTTACCTCAGAAGAGCCGAGAGACAAACATACCCCTGAAGATGAAGAAGAAGATTTCCTCGCTCCCCGAACCTTCGTTTCCCCCAGAGAGCCGGATGCAACAAAGTCGACTATTGAAGAACTAGAGAAAGTTATTCTGGTCTAACATCTCCCAGATCGGAAGGTATACCTGGGAATGGGGCTAACCCCCAAACCCACGAGAAAACTCATTCAATTTCTTATTAATAACATCGAATGTTTCGCTTGGTCCCACTTAGATATGACAGGTATCACACTAGAAATAACCACCCATTGGCGAAGTGTCGACCCCAGATTCAAACCGGTGAAGCAAAAAAGAAGACCCCAGTTCGAAGTAAAACACATAGTCATCAAGGACGAGGTAACAAAACTGCTCAAAATAGGGTCTATTAGGGAGGTAAAGTATCTCGAATGGCTGTCCAATGTGGTGGTAGTTCCCAAAAGGGGAAATAAGTTAAGAATGTGTGTAGATTATAAAGACTTAAATAAGGCATTCCCCAAAGATTCATTCCCATTGACTAACATCGATCGCTTGATCAATGCCACGACAGGTCATGACACCCTCACTTTTCTCGATTCTTACTCGGGGTATAATCAGATTCAGCTGAACCCCGGGGATAGGGTGTCGTGACCCCTTTTTCCTTCCGCAGAATCGGGTTCATGACATTTTGGTATAGGAAAACTCATTCCTTTTGGGAAGTGGTTTGCATTTTAGAGAGTCACCACCTAACGATTTTAAGGTGCGTTAAGGCACCTATAGGGTTCATCTACAACGATGTTTGGTAACCAGAGATAGGGTAAGATCTTGAAATTATCCTAAGGGAAAGGTGTTACGTACCCCCTCAGGATCCACTAGTATGGTTCCCGGCCAGGCAGTTTTTGGGAATTTGGGCAATTAGCAAATAAATAAGTATGGCTCAAATAGTAGGGGGTTTGAGTTTAAATACACAAGGGGTGTCCTAGGTTTGCTTGTAATATGGATCATATCAATGCAATACCCGGTATGACACTCCTTAAAGAGGGGCTACATGTGGTATTAACGCACCGATCATCATATCCATATCTACCATTCCCCGCCCCGTGAAGGTAATTAAAGCGAGGGCTGGTATCGACCCCTATTGCATGCTGTTACCCGTCCCTTCCTACCAGTCCTAGAGGAATATAGTGCTTCTATCCTATAAGGGAGGGTTCTAGGCGGACCCTTAGTTTTAAAGGTAAAATTCTAGGCGACATACAAGAACACATAGGACTGCATTTAAAGGAAAAAGCACAAAAACAGGCAGAAGGCTCAGGTATACCTCCACAAATAATGCACATAGACAGCATGACTCATACACAATTAATGTCTAAATTTAAATCCTATGTATGGTATCTAAGTGATAACAGCAAAACCAGATTTATTACATGGCTCAGAAAAGAAGTCTAAATCAGGCTTGCCTACTGATTTTAACATGCGTGTAGTTAAACAAGGACAATTCTATTTTTATTTAAGCAATTACCTAAGGCTTGCCCAGGTGTAAAGCGATGTGCGGCAGTTATTCCGGGCTTTTAAAACAGTGTGGAAATTAATTTACCCTAAGAGAATGTTGTTCTAGTTGATACGAGTGCAGAGGTTATCCCTAGTTATTTTAAACAGGATAATCAAGTGTGAAGCTATTTTTACCTCTTTTATAATCAGCAGTTTACACTAAGTGTGAATGCAAGTGCGAATGAGATCCTAAAACTTTGTATCTAAGATTCCTGTAAAAAACTCATGATGCAGAATTCCTAGAGCGGGATTTCAAAATGCACATAACAGGATTGCAGAATTTCTTAAGAGCGGGATTTCTAAATGCATATGGCAGCGTAGAACATAATAGTAAAGTGCTAATCATTAGCAGATTTTAGCACATGATTTTTGTAAAGGTGCACATGCTGAAACAATAAACATGAGACCTAAGAGCATGATTTCTAATGCATGTATGAACCCTAAGCATAGTTTCTGTTGCGCAATTAGGAACATAAACCTAATAACATGTTTTCTACCCTTAACAACTATGGCATGCATATGTACCTTATCCCTATTTACTAGCCAACCCCAATACTTGTTTACAACAAGTTATTACTGACCAATATTGAAATGAATTACATAATGAAAATAAGAAGTTACATTATTGGAATCCTGATTAGGACATCATCTCTGAGTTATGTAATCAATCACCCCAAGTGCCAAGATTGTTCCATAGCCTTTCTTATACCTGGGTGTGTCAGAGTTCCCTAAGGACCTCAAGGGATCCCAGGCAGTGCTCACACCCAGATTTTCACAGTCAAGATAGAGTAGGTGCAGTGTGGAAAGGCCAGCTTTTATTGTCCAAGTTCAGAGGGAGCTCAAGGGTCCCAAGGCAAGGCTCACATAAAAGGGGCAGAACCTAGTAATCTAAGCGTATATGTGAGAGTGCTTGACATAGGTTTAAAAGAGTTGAGATGGAAAATAGTTTTGAAAGGAGAAGGGAATAGGGACAGCAATAACTTGGGACAGACCAGCACACATAGAACAAATCAAAAGAATAGTATCATTCCAACATTCACAGGCAGGGAAGTAAGGGGTTGGGGACATAGAGGACCCAAGTCAGAAACACATGGATGAGAAAAGAAGCATATTGACCAACAAGCACACAAAACAAATAGGGACTGATTTTAAAATACAAACAATTACTTCAAAGAGTTAATAAGGGAATCGTGCTTAAAATTAGAAGTGTAATAAGACATAGGGATAGGGTATGAGAGTAGTCATGCAGGGGCTTATTGCACATAATCAGTTATGACTTAGTGTTAATCAAGTACATTAGGAGACATACTAGTTGATGGACATAAACAAGAACAAGTAGACATGTGATTACATTTGAACAACTGAGGGCAGGACTTCAAGCATGCGGAGTAAAGCAATAAACAAGAAATGCAATTAAACAACATGACCCATTAAGTCAGTGCAGGAAAAGATAGGGATTGACAAACGATAGAGCACATAGAGTTGAGTTTCAGAATTGAACTAGAAACATACCAGTTGAGGAAGCAAAGTGCAGAAAGTAAAGCAAGTAGAGTTCCATAGCCTAGCCTTGGCTTTCAGCCAGCTAGACAAGCAGTAGCACAAGTAGCAGAGAAAGAAGAGAGAGTTTGAGTGTGTGTATGTGTTTTTTGAACTAATTGTTTGTGTCTTGAATTAGGAGTAGAGGAGAGTATATATAGTAGTTTAGGAGTGGAGCAGAATAAAGTAAACAAATCATAATTCAGCAATCAAGGAAATTACAGATGAAATTAGTGTAGTCTTCCTTCAATAAAGGACAAATACCCAACGGTTAGAGGGCATGAGTCACTTAAGGAAAGAAAATCAAATCAGACCCAAGTAAAGAGGTAAGCAAACAGAAGTTTAATTAAGGAAGTAATCATAAAGAATCAGTGACATTACGGACAATAAGGTAATAAGAATAATCAGAGTTATATCAAGGGAATGAATCAGTAATTAGCACATAATTTTAAACAAGCAAATCAGTCAATCGAGATTCAAAATAATATTGATTTGAAGAGAGGGAAAATATCAGTTTTCCATAAATAGCCAAATAGGCAAAAAATAGGATTTCACAAACATGCTTAAACTTGCCAAGGGATCGACTCAAAAAACCTAGTAGAGATAAACTAGGGTAAAAGTCACAAGATACTGAATTAGTCGAAAGGGGAAAATCATGAAAGTCAAAGCACAACACTAACAATGTAACAAGTAGCTCGGAAAGACTCATAATTGGAGCAAAAACATAAGAAAATTACAGCTTTAACACAAACTAGTTAGGGTCCAGACAATTTTAGCATAAATCGGTCAATAACATCTAAGAACATATGATTAACACTCGATATGAAAACATTGAGAAGACGAGTTTCAGTAAACCCTAGTTTAGAAAAGAGCAACTAAAATCGAAATAGTTACTTAAAACATGAGATTTTTAAAGAAATATATTTAATAACACTTGAATCATCTCAAATCTATAATGATCTGAGAAGAATCGAACAGTAGTCAGTCTAGGGTTTCGAAAAATAGTAAAGATGAAGAAAAAATCGGTTAAAACTCATGGATACACTTAGATAAAAGACAGATCTAAAGAAAAGTGGAAAATCTCAAGAGCTAGGGTTTCGGAGAACCTAGAGAATATGAGAAAACATTAGACCGTTACCGGTTTCAGCCGGAAAAGCCATAGATCTTACTCGAACAGCCATGGATAGCCGGAAAATAGCATAAAAGACCATGGATAGAAGTTGAGCAAGGTATGGACTAGATTTCTTCGAGATCTTTCCACGAAATCACAAAATGGGCAACCAGGTGACGTAGGATACAAGTACACATCTCAAACAGCCATGGGAATCCATAAATCGAGTGAGGATCGAAGGGAATTAGGTTGGTTAGGGTGGCAGCGGATAGGGTTAGATTTATGTCTCAGAGAGAATTGGAGAGGAAAGGGGATTCTAGGGTGGCGGTTTGGTAGGAAATTAATTAGGTTAGAGGTCGTTCAGGTTAAAAAAAGGTAAGAGGGAATAGGGGCCGTTAATCTTAGAGATCAACAGCCAAGATGATAAGGGGGTCTGGGTTGGGTAGGATCAAATTGGGTTAGGGTCGGATTTTAATTGAAATTGGGCTAGGAAATTGGGGTCCAATTTGGGCTACAATTGAAAGCCGATTTGGCTATATTTTAAATAGCCATTTTTCCCAATTTGATTTATAAAAATAGTAAATAGTTTCTGAAAACTAATTTAAAGTACTAAAAATAATTTAAAATACATAATTAACAATTTAAAAATACAAGATCTAATTTTATGCGTATAAACATAATTAAATCTAAAAAGGGCTAGTATTGAAATTATGTGCAATTTAGCTTTAAAAATACTAAATATAATTATAAAAATATGTAAAAATTAACTTGGCCATATTTTGGCATAAATATAGAAATCCAATAGGTGAATTATCAAAATAATAATTTTTGGAAATAATTATTGGGGATTTTATGGATAAAAAGGAAGAAAATAAATCAATTTAAAACCTTTAAAAATTATGAAAAAATAATAAAACTCTTGGACATGCTTA